ATAATAATAGAGGAATAACAGTAAGAGGAAACCCCCCCTCCCAAAATAATTATGATAACCTGCAGTGATGTAATGGTACCAGCCAAAAGCAAAGTCAATGAGGATCGAAATGCAAAAAGGAGGTCAGCAGAGGTGCTCTAGCACCAATAGGAAAACAAGTCGCCAAGCAGTAAAAGAATAGCCATTCCAGTTTTCCACATCATTTGGAAGATTCAAACTCTCTCCTCCCATTTCCAGGATGTTCTTTGCATTCTAATTAGCCGTTGACAGCCCTTCTCATGAGACTCACACTGCCATTTGTTGGAATATCAGTGAGGTGTTTTTACAAGCATGGGTGAAATAGAGGTAATAATCCAAATGAAGAAATCCAAACTGAGGTAATCTGAGTGAGGAAATCCAATAGAAATTTGATATTTTTGTGATCTTCTTTTTTGGACATGCAAGAATAGGCCACTAATAGCTTTAAAGGCCACTAATAACAAATAAAAAAACCATACACTATGCAAGCTTTCATGGCTAAATCACACTTCTTCAAACCAAGTACCAAAAGTCCAAACATTCATGGCAAGATGGGATTAGTCAGGAGGTTATTCTTAGATATAAAGTTCTTGGCAAGGTAAATTTCACCAGGCACCTCTTAGATGAGACAGGAAGTTGTTTTAAAGTTACCGCCGAAGAAGCTGTGGATCATTCCCAACCCATGATAACCAAGGTGTTCTTGGACTGCAATTCCTAGAAGCCTTCACCACCAGTTGTGCTGGCTGGGGTGTCTGGGAGCTGCAGTCCAAGAACACCTAGGTCACCCAAGGTTGGGAACCACTATTCTAGATAGTAATTTTTGACAAACAGTGCTGCTATTCTGGGCCTAGATTTGTTTTTACACAGTATCACGTTCGAGAAAAGTATGAAAAGTCTTATTATACAGCTATTCAATTTTAGGTGCCAGTATTGTTGAGTCGAAAACTACCAGGAGCTACCGCCATGATGGAGGGAAATATCTGTGGATGTCATTCATTGTGCTGCCTTATGTCAAGCCTCCAGATGTGATTCTTGAGGTAGAAGTAAACCTGATGAAAACTTTCACATTTTCTTCTTAATTTTTCCCCAAGCATTTTATTCTTATTTTGGATGGGGGGGAGTCTTTGCCATCCCAAGTCTTAGTCATTGCTTGTGGCTACCAAGACACAAGTACTATAAATCCTAGGGAGTGGTTCCTATTTATTTCATAACATTTCATTTTTAAATTTGGGAATGATTGTTAAGAGAGTTTACCTTGCATGTGTGGTCACAATTTCTGCAGGACTCCAATTGCAGTGTGTTCTCAATTTGATTGAAAGACCTAATTGACAATGGAGTAACTGCCTCTCTTATCCATGAACTCAGAGCTCATTTGAGCTTGGATTTTTCTGTCTGGATCTGAAGATGCTAAATTCTGCCTCATTCCTCTCTACCTTTGCCTAAAAATGGAGCTCTGCTAGGTAGTTCCTATTTTCTCATGTTTTAACCTGTATCTTAGCTGTGTGGTCACATGTACCTTCTCCTGTTTCGTATTACCTCTAAAAATATTTACACTTCCTTTATGTTCTTTTTAAAGAAAGGTCTCTGTTTCCCTTTATTGTTGTTGTTTCTTCCTTTGTGCATGACACTGAAAGGAAAATGAGCTGTTTATCGATCTAAGTAAAGAAGCAGTATATCAGGAAATAAAACTCAAAACAAAAAGCAAACTGCTACAGCCACTAAAAAGACTCCAGATGTGCCCACCATGTTTTTTATTTGTGCAGTGAAGACCTAATCTGGACTGGAGAAGAACCCTTCCAGGGCTGACTACATGCCAGTTTTGGATTTTCCATGGGTTTTTCAGGCACTGAATCGTCAAGAGAGGCTTTCCAGATCCTCTGTATGCCTGATTACCACCAACACTCAATGCTCCTGCTCAGTTCTGGAGAGGAAGATATATACCTCCATTAGAGGCATTGTATTTCCACAATCTTCCCTTTATACTGCTTCTAAAAGATGAGACAGTGGCAGTCAATGTGACAACCAGCTCTAGCTAGAGTTGATTTTGGTTTTTAATGATTTCAGGTGATTTTTCAGGTGGTTTTCTAGCATTAGAACTATTTTAAAAGTAACTATTCTGTTCGCAACAGTGACCTTGTTGTTTACAATTTGGGTGGTACATATGACACTTTGCAGACTTTCTGTTTCCTCTTTTTACAGCCTAATGTACACCCCGGAAACTGCTGGTCATTCCCTGGGAAGCAAGGTGAAACTGTTGTAAGGCTAGCCAAGAAAATTATTCCAAGAGCAGTTACAATTGAGCATATTTCTAAGAAAGTCTCGCCCACAGGAGAGATCTCCAGTGCACCCAAAGACTTTGTCATTTATGTGAGCATCATGTTTCAGTCTTCATACAAGATTTCTTTGTTCATGAGAAGCAGATTATGAATTATAATCCACAAATTGCTTTTGTTTAAAGAAAAGTGGATAATTACTAATACCGAACCCAACAACTTTGATTTCATTGGGGGTGAGAGAAATAATTTCCAAACACTTGGTTATAATTATATGTTGCTTACAATATAGCATGGTCGTCTTGTGGCTTGTTAGTGGTGGTTCCCCTTGGTCCATTCATAAACTGCTAAACAACAAAAGAGGTTTGCATAAGGCTGCTGTTCAGGGATTCTGAATCTAACTGTTCACCTCATTAAATGGTGGATGACAGGATCAACACAGTCAACATAACTAGAGGCAATGAGAACTGTTGTCCAAACAACATATGAAAGGCCACAGGTTCACCCCTCCTTGTTTATGGCACTGAAGTAATTAAAGGTACCATTAACCAATTTATTTGTTAAATATTAGGAATGTAATATGTTTGCTATGCTGCTAACAATTTCATTCACATACTTGACAGCTATGATTCAATCATAGCATTCATTGATATTTTGGGGACAATGTGGGTAGGTAGTATTTAGAAAAAAAATTCTTATAATATGAACTCTTTAAAAATATTTTACTTTTATTTAACCAGATATTTTGTGTATTCAGATCTGCACTTCTGAAGAGATAAAATCTTTGTTTTTATTCTGCTGTCATTATTATCATGGGAAAATCTGTGCAATACTGTGTTTTTTAATCTATTTCTTCACTAGTGATAATATGCCCTTTCTCTTCCCACCCTTCTGGCTGTCAAGGGACTAAACAAAGAAGAAGAGGAAGAGGGATCATTTTTGGGCCAGTTTGTTTATAACACTGAAGGAGAAATAATTCAAACATTCAGACTGAGGGTACGTTGAACATGATGGGATATTTCTAATAAATGTTCTTTTTGGACAAAAAGAGAATCCAAAATTATTTGACCAAAGCAATGTGTATGTCCTGTTTTCTCAGGATATATAGAAGAAACCTGCTACTGGAACGCTGGATATGCAATGATCTTTTGTCTAGGAAAATATGACTGAAGAACAAATCATTTAGTTTTCTAACTAAATAGCAGTAAGAATTAAAATATGTGCTTTCTCTTACAGAATGAATCTTCTGAATTTATGAGCCATGTGAAACTGAAAGTTCTAGACAACTGGGGCCATCCCAACTATACTTGCATTTATCACTTTAGGGTCCACGGAGATTTAGAATATAGTTAGGTATTCTGTGAATGGTGTACGCATCAGGTCACAACAACACAATGCAAGGCTAATGTGAGTTTGCTGTGCATCTACTTCTATTAAAAACTGGAAGAACAACAGTGGAAAGTGTGTGGGACATTATTTAATCCTTCATTTTTATTACCAAATAAAAAGTAGCATTGTTGTCATCCACAGAATGGTGAACTATTTGCAACTACTGACTTACAGAACAGTATCTAGGAAAGAAAAACTATGCATTGAATGGGAAGACTGCTTTCAAAGCAAGGGTGGGAAACAGTTTTGTTCCCAAAGGTCAGAGTTGGGGGAGTAAAATTGATCAGCTCTCAGAAACCCCCAGGTCATGGTGACTGAAATATGGGATTTGTAACTTTTCCAAGTTCTGCCTGTGGCATCCACAAAATGGTGAACTATTTGTAACTTTTCCAAGTTCTGCCTGTGGGTTGAGGAAGGTTGCATGGCGGGGTGGGGGGGGCGGAGTCAGTATCCCCCCCCATCTACACATTCATGGAAAGGAATGGCATGTGGGGCAGGAAAAGTTATGTTTTCCCTCATGCCCTTCTCATGGAAATTGCACTGCCCCAAGCCACCCAAATAACTATCTGGAAGATTCCTACGGTGTGTGGATAATGCATTCCATGCATCATCTTCCCCAATGTAAGTAGTATTCACCTCGGGGCATGGAAGGTGCTACCCCCCCCCAAAAAAAATCAGTGGTAGCACTTGGGCATTCATGTAAGTCCCACACCAAGCATCTGAGGGCCTATGTAGTCATATAATTTGAAGATGAATTCCTTGAAGGAAAATATGCTTGCAGTTTTGTGAACTAAGTGCAGGTAACTTGAAGTAAGATCTACAGAACCTGATGGAGCACACTTCTGATTACATATGCATAGTGAATGCAATAATTATTGCTCCAAGCCTTAATTCTGTACAAATAGCTACAGAATATTGCTACAGAATAGCCTTTCATAGTTCTGTATATTTTGCTAAAATTGTTGTATGAAGGCTACATTTAAGGTCTGGACATTTTAACAGCTTAATGGTGATCTCCTGTACACATTAGCTATGCATTGTTTAAGAAAAAACTCTCATAATATTGCAGATCAACAGGTATGTTATTACAGGGGATAGTTCTCTACTTGAAAGGCTGTCAGAGAACAGTCCTCTTCTCGAAATACATGTCATGAAGTTGATTCTGGTGACCTTTTTCATCATTTCCTAGATATAGAATATTCTGAAATAGCTTAACAGTTCTTTCTTCTGGGGGCACTCTGTAACTGTGTAGTTTGCCCATAACCACACAGGTTGGCTCTTCTCTTACAGGGCACAGGGGGGGGGGTAGAACAACCAGCTTGTGGGTGGGGTGTTTTGACTCACTGAGCTGTCTAGACAGCTGATCTTCCATTTGAAGGTGCCCATGATGAGCAGTCAGTGCTCGCCCTGTCATTAGCTGCACTGAGGTGATTGCCTCAAACAGTGGAACACTTATTTATTTTATTTATTTATTTATTGTATTTATACCTCGCCTATCTAGTCATTTTGACCACTCTAGGCAGCTTACAACATAAAGGATAACAAGTTCAAGAAAAATTGGAGTAGCAGCTGACTCCCTGAACTGGAAGGCAGATTGAGTAAAAATGGAATAAAATAAATGCAAAGGCTCCCTCTTCCTGCCATCACCACTGCCTTGGGTACTCTTACTGTAGCATGCCTGCTGTGCCTCCAATCCAAGTGTTAAGTGTGGATGGGCTACCTCAGGATCTCTAAGTTGCTGTACTTTGTCACTATGTTCCAAAGATGGTGGTATCCAGCCTCTCTTCCTTCTATAAAATGTTGCTTGTACATGCCACTCTGTACACATGCTGCAAGAGAGGGAAGATGCATACAGTGCTTCACAGACCAGCTCTTCTTAAAGTTGGCTCTACTTGTTCTTCTTGATCTGTCTCCTAAGAGTCCTCTTTGAGTCAAAGAAGGCAGGAGTATGGAATATCTAGGAGAACTGCCCGTGCTACAAATTCAGATGATTTTTCTCGACTGCTTGCCCTTTTTCTACAAGATTTCCAAGAGAACCCCAGGGAGCCAGGCGAAAACATTTTTTAAAAGCCAGCTCAAATGATGGCTGCTTCCTTTTCTGGCAGCATGCATATAAAGAAGTGTGTGGTGCCGCTGCTTCATGAGAACACTTTCCTGTCCAAGGCTGTTTATCTTGGTGGCAGTTATGGGGGGAGGGTGGCAGGAGAGCCTTGGCTGCCCAACTCCAGTCAAAGTCAAAAGTTAATGGGAAAACTGTAAGGTGGGAAGACTGATATCTCTAGGTTGCCCGTCCATACTTAATGCTTGGACTGAAGGCACAGCAGGCAGGCCACAGAGTACATGGTCTCAGTCTTCCCTATTCAGCTGAAATGCATTGCATTTCCACTTAAATTAATCATTTCTAATTTTACAACTGTACCTGTAAATCAGCAAATCCCAGGTATGCAAACCACTCTCCTCTTTTATCCTCTTATGTAATGTGTAAATGGCCACCTTACTCTTTAGGTGTTCACAACATCCAGAGTTGTAGTTTTTGAAGAAGAAGCCATGTTAGTCTATGCAAGCATATCAGAGAGGGAAAAAAAATCAAGAGACAAAAAGTTATGGCACCTTAAAGACTAACTTACCAGTAAATGGGAAGTTTCATGGATCAAGTCCACTTCCTAAGACAAAAGAGTGAAAGTAAATGGTTGTCATATTGATAAAAAGCCACATGACCAATGAACATACAGATAATGGACAAAGTTACAACGGTTCATTAGCAAATGAATAGAACTATCATTTTATCAATAATTGCAATTATCACATGTGGCCATTTTGTTTACCCAGCGGCCATTCTGAAACCGCTGATCAGCTGGCCGAAAATGAAGGCTTTGCGATGATCGCTTCCCTGCGATCATCGCAAAGTGAAATTTCCCTATAAGGACCATCGCAAAGCGATCACTTTTGCGATGGCAAAAAGTCCATTGCAAAGCGATTTCATTGCTATACGGAGTGATCGCTATGCGAGGCACCACTGTATAAAATTCTACACTGATTCCCACAGTTTGCAACTTGTGTCAGCAATGCTATAGTTACATTGTAGACTGATGATTGGAATTATTCATAGTCTGATAATGCTAATATGTTACTAACCATTCTCACTTTATTCCCCACCCAACTGTATCCCCACCTGGCCATAGGGCCATGTATAAATATGACAGTCATATAACCTTACTCTTTTGTGTGAGGAAGTGGGCTTTATCTATTAAAACTCACTTTAAAATATAGCAATTAGACTTTTAGGTGTCACAACATTCTTGTTTTATTTTATATTTTTGTTTGTTTACTTGTTTTCATTTGATAACAATTAGTGTTTGAGTCAAATCTTCCAGATAAGAGAAATTTAAGTATGAGAAGGGTGCAACAACGGAAGGAGAAAGAAGACCAATGCCCGCCTCGGTCTCAGCTGCTCTGCAGAAGTCATATAGCCCTTCATTTCTATGGACTCTGGGGGCTGTGATGTCCTCACAGAGGGGGAAATAAAATGTTAATGTTGCTATTTGTGTAAAACTTGTTTTTTGTAACCTACCAACTCCAACACAAACAAAAGTAAAAATAAGTTATGAAAATAACTGATAGCAAATAAGTGTTTGATATCTCTGCACATGGTGAGAACATGCGAGAGAATGATGCTGAGTGGCTCAAAGACAGTACACAACATTTCTTGTTACTGTGCAGACAGTGAGAGGCTGCAGAAAGAGAGTAGGAGTCAGTGTCAGTGAATGTTTGGATGGACTTGGTGAACATGCTTCTTTTGGTTGTTGTGGGTTTTTCGGGCTCTTTGGCCGTGTTCTGAAGGTTGTTCTTCCTAACGTTTCGTCAGTCTCTGTGGCCGGCATCTTCAGAGGACAGCACTGCTAATAAAACTGCGTGGTTATTATTGACTAAAGTGACTTCAATATTATCACAGTGAATTTTGTAACAATACATTTTGGGTGAGCCTCAGAATGGATCGCTGGCTGAATTTGAAATGTAAAAGAACTGATCATGTTGATGAGGGTGCATCCTGTTGAAAGGAAAATAAAGCGTCATCCAGTCATCTTAAAAACTGTCATTATTGCAAGGAATATCTGTAAACTGGCTTCACATGTGCAGCTTCCAAAGACAAATGTGTGTTGTGTTACGAAATATTGTCCAACAAGAAACTGTCAAAACTGCAAAGACATCTCAATACTAAACATAAAGAAACACACTTCAGTGGAGGCCCTAGTCACTGGGGCTTTGGGAACAATATCAAGAAACCTCAGAGTACTATGAGCAGTTGCAGATCTCAAAAATCACACCATCAGAACTACAAAACCCAGCAATATTAGGAACAGCATACATACTGCGCGGATATTTAACAGATACTTAGGCTTTTGGTTAAAACTTGTATCTGTTATATAATACATCAATGTTTCTATAATTTTGATTGTGGCTGGCATTTAACAACAACAACAATGATAATAAAGATAATAATAAAATTTATATAGAATCATTCCAAGAAAAATGTTATAATAGTGTGTGTGCAAAGATTAACTTGTCTCCAAATTGGAAGACCCTTCATGAGAATGGTTAAATAAATATCTGACACACTGTTTGGTGTTAAATCTTGAGTTAAGTCTTGGTGGATCGTGGCGACAAAATATATTTAAAGAGGGTTTGTGACCGCTAATGTAGCCTAAATAAAAGCTGCTTCCTCCAGCAGGCAAGCTAATCTAACCTTCCCACACTCCTCCCTCCCTCCCTCTGACTTCCGCACTGCGACCCCTCGTGGCGGCGCTAAACGACAACTTCCCGGGATCTGCAACAAGCCGACCTGAGACGCCCTGCCCATCGCTCTTACGTCATAGCGAAGAGGGGGTGGAGCGCTCCGTGCGAGCGGCGTGATTGGTCAGGATCGCGGTCGTTTCTAGAGAGCTTCAAGAAAGAACGGAGGAAGATCTGCAAAGGTGAGCAGGTTGCGCAGCTGCAGAGGGCCTTTACTGTTGAATGGCTGAGGAACTCGGCAGGAATGGCCAAAGAGCTGCCATTAGTGATGACCCCACCACCATCAC